CTAATATTCCCTTTGGATTGAAATTACCTTCCTATCCCCTAACTATAAAGCAAGTAAAGAAAAAGAAAATTCAATCAGGTTCACCTGAAACAGTTGAAGGGCTTTGCTGTTGGTTTTTGTACAAGATTCAAGAATACAGAGGAAGAAAAGTTACAGCAGCAGCAGGAATTCTATCGCAACATCCTTCTTCTTCTTCTTCTTCTCCGAATTTTCAGCGGTAAGCTCATTCAAGCAAAACCCACTTCGCTGAAATGTGTTTCTCTGGAAAAACTGGGGTTAACTTTTTGATATGCAAGTTACGAAGAAATGTGTGATTTCTATACGTTTGCAGTTACAATTTGTGCTTTTTTGTGGGTTTAGATTTTAGTTTCTTGCACGAGCTGAAGCCGAGCTAATTGGAAAATGCATTTTTCTTGGATACTCTTGAATTAATTGATATTTTCCTTTTGGAACAATTGGGTAGTGACAGTGAGAGGTTGCATGGACTTTGATGAATTTGGTACCTTTTATAATTTTTGATAAATTTGGATTTAGAGTTAGTGACCTCGTCTTCATTCTTGCAAAGTTACTACGTGTTCACCAAAATCTTTGCATCTCAGACTTTACAGGGGCTTAATGGTAACTTAATCCATGTTTGCCTTGAGGAGGTTTCCTACTGCCTACAGGGTACCATCTGTTTGAACAAATGCCTCAGTGAGAAATCTGTCGCTGTTTTTCTTTGGGAGGTTTCAATCTGCATTTGCAATAGTGCAAGGGGCTAGAATTTGTTAGTTTTGAGACTTCTATATACCAAACCGAAACAGGACGAGTTTAGATTTTGCCAGTCCTACATGTTTACTTTTCACAATTGTCTTTGGTCTCCTCCCCGTCATGTGCTTGCTTCTACAGTTCTTGGTGTAACTTTTCTAGTCGATTACTTAAATTGTTGACATTTCTTGCATTGCAACTTTTGAATTTGAAGAATTATACTCATCTTATGGTCAGATAATGATTTCTTAATTATAAAAATCACTGCAGCCTTTTCACATATGTGAGAAAGAGTTCTAGGAATGGAAAACACCAGCAATGAGCAGGAAGTTGAGCCTTCGTCGGCAGAGATTTATGAGTTACCTGGGGAGCCTGCTATTGTCATTAATGGAATGCCTGAGATTCCCCCAAGTGATGGCACTCCTCTTGCTTTCTCTAATACTGTGCGTGATGCAGAATCCCATGGAAAAATGAACTTTGGTGAATGGTTGGAAGGAAGGGAAGTAAGAAAGTTGTTTGGAGAGCAATACTACTCTGGTACAGTAACTGAGTATGATAAAGAATCAGGCTGGTACAGGGTGGTGTATGAAGATGGTGACTTTGAAGATCTCGACTGGACTGAATTGAAAGAAGTGCTACTGCCCCTGGACATCATGGTTCCACTGAAAACATTAGCCCTAAAAATTCTCAGGAAAAGCAAGAAAACTGTCCATAAATCTAGGTATGCTATGGCTCAATCTCGAACACATAAAGCCAAAACCACGGGAAGTAAGGGAAAGAAGGCCTCAGTACCTGAAGATGCTTCAGTGATGAACCCCAAAGTACCTGAAGATGCTTCGATGATGAACTCCAACGGTTCATAAACAGTGAACATAAAGAAAGGTTGATGGGGTTACATTTACATTCC